TTTATATAGTTTGAATATATGTATATATAGTTGAATATAGTTTTGGTGCTGTGAATTAAACCCAGGACCTTGTGTCTGTTAAGGTTAAGGTTCACTCTATCACTTACCTGCATCTCCACTCCTTGAATTTTAATTTTTTAAAAACCCTTCAGTATGTATGATTCAACACTGTTTTTAAATCTCCTAGAATGATAATATAAACATTTTTTTCCTTAATGAACCTTCTCAATCTTTTATGACCAATTTTCTTTTCAATATAAGGGGATAAGGACATGAATACATTATAAATTTTAAAATATAGCTCAGGTGGATATGAAAATATTATCTTAAAAATTTTAAGATAAGTATTTTTCTCAAAGCCAAGTAATAAAATTTTCTTGAAAATTTCCAAATAATATAAAATTAGTAGTACAAATGTAAGGAAGAGTAAATATAAGTTTAAGATTTTTTTTCACAAATCTGAATTTCTTACTGTGTAAAAAGTAGGGCACTTTAAAAGTATATTGGTTGTCTAATAATGTTCTTATTTTGTAGTCACTTAATCATTTTTCCCCAATATTTGCTCCTGAATCCATCAAGGTACAGTTCATTCAATGAATTACTCTTTTATCAGAACCTGGCATTTTATTAACGTTTTATTATTTATTTCACTTTTTATTAGTACATAATGTCTACATCCATCATACTTTCCTTTCCCCTTCCTACTCTCCCACCTCCTCTATTTTCTTGATCCCTTTGACATTTATAAAATATCTAGCTGTTTCCTATATTTTGTCTTGTATTTTGCTCTTTAAATTATTTATACTGTGGGTTATACTTTAACTTATTTTATGCATGAGAAACCACCCCATATTTACGATTGTGTGTCTGATTTATTTCACTTAATATTCTTGTCTCAAGGTGCATCTATTTTCCTACAAATGACTCAAATGACTCCCACAAATGACTCCATCTTTGTGTCAGAGTATCAACATGATTTTATAATATCTGTTTATATTTACATTTTTATCAAGTCAAGTAATGTTGCTCATCTTCAGATGTTCATAGAAGTTAGCTAATGGTTGTTTTCAGTCCTATAAATTTCAATAACACATACAGGGACTTTTCTAAAGAAAAAAGGATTAAAATTTCTTAAAATCATCTTTAATGATAAAACCCTTAACACCACATTATTTACAATTCTCATCTGTTCTATGTAATGGTACTATTATGCTTCTTTAGATGAGGAAACTGAGGCACAGGGAGATGAAATAGCTCATCACAAGATTACACAAGTGAGGTGTCAGAATTTGAACCAAGGCCCCAGAAACCTCAAACTTCTTGTTTTCTGCTACGCCATATAAGCTCTCTGTTAATATAGGAATCAGAGAGAAGTGACACTATAAAGGAAAGAGGAAGGGATAAAATACAGTTGAAATAGTTACTCTGTCTCAGAGACATGAAATTCATTTTATGTGCAGCTTTTACCTATGAGGACTGGAAACTGACAACTATTATTAATGCCAGTTTATAGATACAGATCATTTAATAAGTTTAGAATAGTTTAACTGAAAATTATCTAATTGCAATTAAAATTGTTGAATTAGGCTAGCAGTTTTATAGATGAAGAAATGAAGATATAAGAAGTCAAAAGTGAATTGGATTTAATAAGCCACTGGATAACATGACTTTGTCCTTGTTCCTTAATTTAGAATTCTCTATCAAGGAAATTGGCTATAATTTAGACTCTTTGTAAGAGTCAGTTATTCAACTTCAATTGAATATAGAAAAATGGAGAATATCCTCACATGAATCTCATGTTTAATAAATTTTCTACCCATGAAAATCATTATATTTTCAACTTACATATCAAACATATTACCTAGTTTTGTCAAGTCTGCCTACTACATGAAACAAGAATATTTTCCATCATTTCTTTATATTTCCAATGCTGCTTATCTATACAACCTCATTACATCTCATCTGTTCACCTTAGGAACATCAAAATACCTGCAAGTTTTGGAAAATACTAGGAAGCTTTATACCCCAGTGTTAAACCAATGCACTGTCAGTCTGAAATATTCTTTCTTTATTTGTTCTCTTGATAAAAAAATGACTTAATTTTCATGACCTGCCTTTTTAATGAGTAAACCATTCTGCAAATCTATCTTTTACTCTCAGGTAGACTTACTCACTCTTTTCCTCTGTGCTAATAATAAACTTTAAATGTGGCTTCATTATTGTATATTTTTGTTTGGTATTACAACAGGTCAGTCTCTTCGACTCTGTGCCTTTACTGTAGGGACAGACACTCAAACAATCAGTTTAATCAGTAAACATATTAACAGGTATATTATATTTAACATACAACTTACAGATTGTGCAAAATTACTGAAGATTGCTACTGCTATAAAATGTAATAGGCAAGTTCCCTTTAATTATTTGAATTAAGAATAATGGTAAATAATAGGAAAGAGGATGTTTACACGTATGTGTATACACTGTTTCCAGCGAATTTTGCCATGGATAACAACAAACATAAAAATATTTCAAGCAGACAATATAATTTACAATTCAAACAATAACCATAAATTTAATAATATCATATTTTGTCAAAATTAATTAGGCAAACTATAAAGAATTGTAAAACTTTTTTGTCTTAAAGTATAAGCTACCATTTAAATTATTTCTATATTTATTTAATTTGGAAGAGAAGTGTAGGAAATAAAACTATTGTGTCAAAATCGACAATTTGTTGTATAACTTTGAATTCAGCTGTAAGTAACAAACTACATTTGTTATTTGAAGATATTTCATACACAATGTTTGATAATCCTATACTTCAAAATACTGTTAATTAGGTGGATTGATAAAACAGAAAAAAACTGGCTTTCAAAATAGTATCAGAAGAAATAGGATATCTTTAGGATTGCTTTCAGTTCTCTTTATGGAACAGTACATTAATCATTTTGACAAAACTTAGTACATTTTCAATTTTCCAGAATTATTTATTGATTTTTAGATGGCAACTTGGAAACGAATCTTGGAATAATTCCACAGGCGTTAAAGATCATTTTTCCTTCTATGAATTCCAGGCCATGGTTCAGTGTTTATGTTAATGCTCTACCAGACTAATTTATGCTACGGTAATTAATGTCCATCTAAAACTTGCAACTCTGATATGGTAATTCTACATTCTATATTTTATGAATGTGTTTGTATTTCAGCTGGTCTAGGTTTTGTCCTCATAAATACAACCATCCTCCTCATACTATGAATCTGAAGTTTGGTCAGAAAATATAGTAACTCTCATCTATAAGGGTACTGATTGATTTTTGTAGGAGAGATGACTAATACTTGGAATTTTTATGTGGTAGCCATAATTTAACTTTTTTCCTATTTGCCTGCTACTCATGCATTTAATCTCTTTGCTTAAATGATATATTGGCCAGGGACCTAAAACAGTTTTAAAATATAAATTGCTTAAATTTTACAGTTAAAAAGAAAAGAAGATAAGAGATGTTTGATCATTGTACTGGCTCTGGAAAATAAGTCAAATATAAATGAGATCATCAAATACCTTTGGGGGCTATTGTCAGAATCATCCCAGATTTCTCGCTAGGGCCATTTCTATTTTCCTGATTTTATTTTGTTAAATTCTTTTATTGGTACATTGTAGGTATACAACACAATTACATTTCTCATTGGGAATTGTACCTTTACATAATGCATCTTGGTTCTTATTTTTTCCCCATTCCTAGCCCTCCCTTCACCCCCTCCACCCTTCCCTATTTACAAAGACTTTATTTCCATTTTTTCCCTTTCTCATAATTTTTCCTTTTCCTTCTTTCCTTTCCCCTGCCCCTCCCACTACCCCTACCCCTTTGGACCTTTTCTTCCTATTTTGCATTATCAATTACTCATTCTAATCATTGGTACATTTTAGGTATATAATATAATGACATTCATCATTGGAAATTTGCACCTTTACATAATCTCTCTTGGTTCTTATTTTTCACCCTTGCCCAGCCCTCCTTTCAACCCCTCCATTCCTCCCTATTTACAAAGATTTTGTTCCTATTTTTCCATTTTCTCATATTAATCCCGTTCCCTTCTATCCTTTCCCTTAGCCCTTCCACTTCCTTCCCCTTTGCCCCTTTTCTTCCTATTTCACTTTATCTATTATACATTTTAGTCCTTATTTACACGTTCAGTTTCTCACACCAGAGAAACTATTTGGTATTTATACATGTGTGTCTTATTTATTTCACTTAAGAGTATCACATTAGTGGTGGGTTCTGATCACCTAATACAATGCTTTACAGATTTACTTCATTTTTCACCATCAAATAAATAAAACTAAAATGCCCACTCTTTTCAGAAAGCAAAACATTATTTCATCTCATAAAGTAGGCTTCTAAGATATTAGAAATGGGGAATTTATATTGTTGATTTATTGATCTTTTTCTTCATGCAGTAATTTAAAAAAAAATTCAAGAATTAAAAAAATTAGAGAATTCTATACCACATTGACCTTGCTAAACTCCATGGTTTATAAAAGGAAACAAATAAACAGAAAGGAATGGCATCAAAAACCCAATAGCATTTTTTTTTTTGATACCAGGGATGAAACTTGGGACCTTGCGCTTGCGAGGCAGGGGCTGGAACCACTGAGCTAAACCACAGCCCCCCAGTAGCATTTTTAAATAGGATTTTTGTCAGGCTGACATTAGAGCTGTTTAATTTGATATATTAGACACTAATTTTCTAGAGTCTGAATATGGTACAACAAATATAGAACTATCGGTCATATCTAGTCCATGCATAGTAGGTGTTGAAAAATATTTACCGAGTCAGTAAAAGACATATTAAGGAAGTTCTATTGGAATCTAGTGACATGTTCTCTCTGAATCCATGGGGATGGTGTGAATACCCTTTAGATGGACTTAACTACTCTGCTTCTAATTGGGAATAGATTTGTTGGGGAAGGAGGCCTCACTATACTGGAGTATTTCACTCACCTCTTTAGGGGCATCAGCTACAATGAATTCAGAATAAATCATTCTTGCTTTCGAAGCAATTTTTTCTGCACTTTCTGTGTTCTTGAAGTCTTCACAGGCAAGCCAGAACTCGACGTTTTCTTCACTAAACTCTGATTTTAGAAATCTTCGAAAAGCATCAAGACCAGCTATAAAGTATTTAAGAAAAACTTTTGAATAATATCCTTTGGAGTGGTAACATGACCACATAAAGAGTACATTGCAAAATATGAGCATTTATTGAATATCCATTAGTAAATATTTATTATCATGCTTAATATAACCTTTGTATTTTACCTTATAACTTTAGAAAATCTTATGTTTGATCAGTAATAATAAACAAAATATATCTATTTCTTAAATTAACTCCATTTATAGGGAAAAACTGTACATTTATTTTCTGGATCCAAAAAGTCAGAGAGTTATGTTTAGGAGAAAGTCTTGATGGTCAGGAAATCTCATGCTCTAAAAGTCCTGCTTTTTAGACCCATTGCGCTAAGTTCGGATCAAGTTGATCATATTATACTAACTTCAGAGTAAGAATATCTTTGTGCCTCTGAGTTTGAAAGGAAGCATAATTTGATCTGAAATGATTAAATTATATTGGCCTGGGCTTAAAGCAAAAGAGTTCATGCTGGCCTTTGTTAGTATGGTGTACATATATTGAACAAATAAGAGTCTTAAACCAAGAAAGCCAGTGGCAAGCATTTGGAGTGAATGCTTCTTCTTCTCTCCTTTATTTGGTGATAGGCAATTTTAATTCTGTGAGGCAGTTACCTTACAGAAAACGCTGATGCCTTCTATTCTCCTTCATGTTACCTGTGCAGAGTGTTTTCCTCCTGCTTTTGGGTGTTCTCCTGAGCACACATTTCTTTGGCAACTTTAGACTAGTGACTGAAAAGGAGTCCACTGACTCCCAATTTAACTGGTATTTTTTTTTTTTTTTGAGGGGGATCAGGGATTGAACTCGGGACCTTGTGCTAGCCAGGCAGGAGGCGGAACCACTGACCTAAATCCCCGGCATATATATATATATATATATATATATAATTAATAACTAAAATCAGGGCTTAAGTGGAATATATATATTTTAAAAATTACTAACTACAATCAAGCTGTGATTCCTATTTGTCTCACTGCTCCCTCTTTCTCCCAGTATACATCATTATTACTTACTTTATAGATATTTAAGTTTTTGAACATTTCTTTAGACTCTTCTCTGCTGTACCCATCAAATGTGTCCTTAAATGTTCCTTTTTAGTACACCCAGAGCTTATTGTAGGGCTGAGTATCGTTAAGAATGGGCCTCTAGTTAGCAGGTAGAGAGATTATATTCAGATCTCTTGTTGTTAAGATTTTATAGTTTGATTCTTCCGATGGCAAAATCTGATATACGTGAGACTGTAGAGTATATCACTGAGGAGGAAAATGTACATCACAGCTGTTGCTACGCAGAGAAATTTGCCTTCCAAAACCTTAGTGGTTTTCTCCTCCACCTGCCTAGAGGGTACCTTTGCATGTGCTCAGAGCATTTCCACCCTGACTGCTCCCTGAGTGAGAGTTAATCCTTAAGTTTGCACCTAGGGGAGAACTTGTTTTTGGAGAATCAGGGGACAGGAAAACTTGACTAGAGAAAAAGAAAATACAAAAGTCAATGAACAGAGGCCTAAGCCAGTTTTTTATAGGTTGCTGCAGGTAAGGACCGAAAGTGAAGTTTAACAAAAGAAAATAGAAAATGATTTTTTCTGGAGCAAGATTAAAATATCTAAAAACACTGTATTAAAATAGATTTAACTTATTTATTATTTGAAATGTTGAAATAACAAGTCAGTGCAAAAGGTTTCAGAGACCAATTAAAATTCTCAGTAGAAATATCAGAGATTGAGGATGTCATTAATAAGTGAGCATTATATAAAAATTCAATTAACTGAACATTTCTTTCATTTAAAAATACATCCAAGAAATGTCTGTGACACAAATTTAGGTTATAAAAATCCTCTTAGTAACACAATTAAAATTTTTCCTGAATGTGGTTCAAACAATGATGCATTTGAGAGGTTTAAATAGAACCTATTCTAGAAATTATTTTATGTGAAAGATAAAGTATACCTTCATAATATTGAAAGAATACTGTATCATTGATTCATGCCTGGCAATATTGTATAGGTGTATCATTAAGGAAGGCGAAGCTTTCCTCCTGTGAAGATTATCCAAATATATCCCAGAGAGATGGAAAGTTAGAGATCAAGAAAATATTATTATTTTCCCCTGCTCTCCAGTTTTAATGAAGGGCAACTCTTAACTGACACTATATCCTTTTCATCATTTGGTTTATCACACACAGAACAAAACAAGCAACCGAAGCAACTAAAATTGAGGCTAGTTACCTCTGTCTTAGACACAATATTTTATTGATCTACTTTTAATTCTATACATACAAATTGAATGATCAAAAGAGGCCAAATGATTTTGGTATAATAATACTATATAAAATTAAAGTCATTATCTGAAGGCACTCTACAAGATAAAACCACTTCATCTGTTATTCCTAACAGAGGGTATTAAATGCAACAGGTCAGCAATAGGCAGTGAAAACTACACTAATGAAGGCCTATACCCAGTACATGCAAAGCATATTCCCCAGTTGACAAAAACAATTAAGAAATTTGATGAGCCTTTAGGTGTTTAATGTATTAGAAATCATGGATGCTACTAAACTTTCTTTGGTATTATAAAATCCAAACCAAACAGTTGTTTAGGTGAATCTCTAAGTATTATTGTATCTGAATATTAAATATAAAATCCCAGGAGGCAGGCACATGGAAGTATTTGTCTTTCTCTTAAGGCCTCCTTGCCTCTGTTTTCTGGTGTTGTTGTACGGAACTCCTCTATTCCACCACAGCCTGCCAAGTCATAACTCACAGAGATACTTTGACAAGGCTCTTAGCAAACTGATCTGTCTCATTGATTATACACGTAAGAAAAAAGAAATATACAGTATCATTCACAACTTACACAAATGCATTTTCACATTTTTAACATCTTTAATATATGACTTTGGTTGGATTCTGGAAGTTATGTGGATTATTTTATATTAACACTTTAAGAATTAATCACTTAAGCAGTAAATCCAGAGTATCTAAATTCATCTAATTCAATCTAATTTTATATAAGAATAAGCAGCTATGAAGACTTTATTCAGCTTTATCATATCCAAATCTTTTCTGATAATTTTTTACTTTATTAATTAAATTTGGATTTTTTTGATTAGCATGAACAATACTGCATTATAAATGTTCCCTATATATGTCTCCATAGTGTCATTTATCCTCCCAGGGATAAGATGAATGTCACAAAGGAGATTATTTATAATACAAACACAAGTTGTAGATATCTTTGTGACTATTCTGTATGGAACTGTTTCATATCAACGACTAGGGCATTTTATTTAAAATAACAAAATTATCTTATTGAAACATCTTAATAAAATATATAGTCACACATAAACATTAATGCACATACACTTGCATTCAAATATGTTTTTATATTCACTAAGGATGAGAATAATTCGGTTGAAATACATACTTTTTGAAAGTCTTATTTTCATTTTCAGGGCCTCTAAAACAAGTGATGTATTTAAATTTTTAACTTTTTGATATTTTATATGTTACTTTCAATTTGTACCCAAGGAAAACAATTTTTATAACATGTCATGTAATAGTGAAGTTAACAAAATTGAAAATTTCTTGCTATTTGGAATTTTTCTTTCACAATGGTACCTCGGTTTATGAACTTAATTTGTTTTACGATTTGGGGGAAGATGGCTGTGTTTGTGTTTGTGTAGGCAAGGTGGCCGTGGTCCTGTTTGTAATCCAATGTGGAGACTGTGAATAGGAGCAAAATTTTACCGAATGCTTTTGTTTGTGAACCAAATTGTTTGCAAACATAAGTGTTCATGAATCCAGGTATGACTGTATTGTAATGTGTGGAGTTTTTATAAACTTATTTTAGGCCCAAGATAATTCTATTTAGGCTTATTTTTTTTTTGTACCGGGGATTGAACTCAGGACCTTGCACTTTTGAGGCAAGCTTGTTGCCACTGAGCTAAATTCTTGGCCCTCCATTTAGACTTTTATCCTTTAAATTAACATGATTGTTAGGAACTTTATGCTACAGATATTGATCAAACTCACAGCTATGCCTGCCATCTTCAGAATTTAACAATTTACACTTAATTACTATATTTTAAGGCTATTATTAGTTGGATCTTACCTTGATTGGCTAAAAGTGTGTCCATATTTTCAGACCATGCCGTTACTTCTGTGGCTGGTGACCTGTAGAAACAACATCTACCCTTGACAATAGCATTGTGATCTTTTTCTTCTATAACCTATAGTAATATTGAGTTATATTTTTTGTAGAAATATATCACTTTATTGACTTTTAAGTCATTGACCAAGCAGCAAAATATCTATAAATTATATATTTTCCCACAGTGGACAACTATAGCAAAATGAAGTGGGATATAATCTGACATAAGTAAATTATTTATAAATGTAGCCAACAGTGTTGATAGTACTTGCAAATTCCCAAATTCTAACAAAGACACTAAATAGATATTGGTTTTATTGAATGACTTTCTTCTTGACCAAGAATATATTTTTATTAATTTATGCAGGATTACTGTGGTCTCTTCCTGAAAAGTTCTGATAGCAGTAATGATGAATGCACTATTTGTAAGTTTTCAGAGCACACAAAGCTGCCGATTTTATAATTATGCATCTAAAAGAAATTCAAAAACTTTTAAGGATTTCTAACGTGATAATCTTGAAAATACTTAGTCACAGCACTTCAAGGAATATTTACCCAACTCTGCATCAGATTTTATTTCTCTTTAGACTGGTTTACTTTAATTCTAGACTGATTTATTTAAAAGAGGACAGGGTTATACCTTTTTCAAAGCAGTCAAAAAATTTATAGGCTTAAGTCTTGTGAAGAAGGTATACTTTGGAGGACGTATGTAGAAATCATAAATCAGATTTAAGATATTAACTTCCTGAAATGCAAATATATCATACATTATTACCCTTAGTAAACAAAAATCTCAATGCAATAAACCTCAATCCACACAAAGCATCTGCTGTCCAGAAAAAATGTTGCATTATGTAGCTGTCATGTGCAAAATCTTAGTTTTGGAAATGTTGATCAATTTAAAATTTATATAAAAAGACAATGAAATGATTGATAATTCAAAATCACCTCATATCTAGTCACCCTTATAAAATTTTGTATTTGTACATCAAAGTGACTGTTTAGATATGGTAGTGTGTAGTGATTCCTATACTTACTCCTTATTATAATTTGCTGCAGTTTCTATAATTTTTATTAGGGTTGACTGTATTCTCTTCTGTTGCAATATTAGATGTACAGTATTTTCAGATAATAATGAGAGGACACATAAGAAGAACTGTGTGATTAGGAATTTATTTTGCTATTTTTCAATGCTGACATATCTTATCTCAAATTTCCTTTCCCAGTTATGGGCTATTGACTTTCTTTTCTTCCTTAGCTTACTAAATTGTGAAGACACAAGATTATCTAGAAAACCATTTTGAAATAGTAGCTGTTCGTTGAAATGGATAGTTTAAACTATTTAGATTATTCAGTCTCCATCTTTCATAAGTGGAGGGTGAGACTAAATCCTAGATTTAATTTTCCATTGAAAAGATTTTGTGCACTATGGAAGCTGTTACTTAAATGAGAGTACACCATATTTTATATGATTCAAATATTAAGCTTTATAGAAACTTCATCATATAGTAATTTGAAATGACCATGTTTGCAGACTGAAGTTTGGTGGTTAGCAGGGTATTCAAATAAAATGAACTCAGTATCTGTGGAATGTATGCTAATGCATAGAAAAGAGAGGAGCCTGGGTACATCATACATCCATTTGGAATGAGGTGCAGCCATTCTGAAAAAACACCGAGAAAAGGAATCTAGGCAAATTTATTCAAGGATGAACATTATTTCCCCATATATATAATTTCTCAGATGTCAGGAATTAATATTGTGTTCTAGCGCTAAGAAGAGTTATCTGATCCAAGGAATAGTTATTGAGCATAATAACAAATGGATGACCAAACACTAAATAATGGTAGGTATTAAACCCTCATTGGAAGAGAGGCAATAGCTTTGAAGATGCTGGTAGATTACAGCATTAAAAAGATTATTGGAAGGGCTGGCTAAATTGTATGTGCTTCAAAGTGCTAGGATGCTTTGCGTGAGCTAGGAGAAGAAATGATGGTCAACTTTAGTGAGGAACAGAGCACTATGGAGCTCCCTCGAAACCTTGAGGTTTGCAGATGGGAGAGGATGGACAACATTCAATCGAGAGGGCATTCGGGCAAGGGATGGCCTTTAGGAAGAGCCACGTTTCCATAAAGTTAAATGCAAGAATATTCCATAAAGACCTTTTGGGGTGTAATGAAGCCTTTGTAGGAATGTTCAAATAAATAGCCATTCTTATTGTCATCATTAATATAGAATAACAGTAAAACTGGAAAGAAGAAAACAAAGTCTGGGAAATGGCATAGAATCAAGGACAAAATAAAAAGTATTATTTGATTTACAGAGATACACTAAAATATTATAGATAATTTATAGATACATATATATTGAGTATTATAGACAATAGAATCAGAGATACTAGGATATTCTAGTATTAATTATGGTCCACAAAATTCTCATGTTGCTATAAGTAGAAAAAGTTGCTTTAGTTCTCTGGAGAAATACTCCTGCAGGTATGTGATAATACCTGGCATGAACACAGCTTAGTACTTTCTAATCTCCCTTCTCACCCAGGAGTTCCAGTTTTGAATACGTGAGATGATGTGATGGTAATGCAGTATTTATTTTTCAGAAATTAGGTGACATGTACATAGTTTAAGAAAAAAATACTTATTTATTGCAATTTAAATTTATCAAAATTTGAATTTCTTATGTATTTGTAATTCTATGGAAAAATAAATTATTGATCTTTCTGAACAAACTGAATGGTAATATTTGTCATGGCAATAAAATGCACAGGAATGTATTTAATACTTAACAACATATAACATATTGTGCTAAGCATGTCACAGGCTTTACTTCATTTAATCTTGAAAATAATAGTGTGCTTTATTCCCATGTTACTAATGAGTAGAAATTCTCAGAGATGCTACTAACTGGTAAAATAGCCTACAGACCATAGTGGGTAGAGATACACAGATGTGTCGGCTATAATGTCAATTCTTTTCATACTTCTTCCTACGATGGATAAATCAGTTCATATGTGTAATAAATACCTTAAAAATGATTTTCCTACAATGGAGTTTTGTCACACTGTACACAAATATTTGCGGTATATAATAGTTGTGGTAATTGGCTACTTAGTGGAAAATGTACCTAGACATTTTAAAAACTTATACATTTTCAAACAAAAATAGAACATTTCTTTGATTGGATATGAATGGGAAATACAGTTTTGTGTTTTAAAAATGCAACTATAGAAATGTCAAGAAAGAAAACTATTGAATAGAAATTTGGAAAAAAAAGAAAGTGGCCGATTTCAAACTGTACTGTCTTGGTTAATTTTTTCCCTGATGGGTGTTATTTTAAATAATGGATGACACGTCATTACTATATTTAAGAACAACTGCCACATTATTTTGTTTCCTTTTATTTGGACTTTAGTTATAACATTAACATGTTTTGCTGGTTCTTCTCATTTTTGTGTGTATGTGTGTGTGTGTGTTTCCTGTAAAATTCTGATGCATAATAAGAACAACTTTTTTGTGTATGGTTTGCTATGAAAATTACTCTGTATCTGGAGCAAAAATTGCACTTAGTATTTCATGGGGTTTTGGCTGATTTCCTTTCTGTTTTCTTCATTAAGCACATCCCATCAAGGCCAGCAGTACCCATATTATGTGTCCGGAGAAGAGCCAGGCCAGATGGGAACTGTGTGAAAGCTACCAGTTATCTTGCTAATTGTGCCAGCTAGAACCAGTTGTATTGCATTAAAAAATGTGGTCTCCAACAACTTAGCTGTTCACACTCAATTAGCAGGGTGCTGGAGAAAGGAAAATTCAAGCAAGGAGTCCATGTGCCCAAGGAAGTGACAGCTGCTTCCTTACCCAGCACTTGATACCCATATAAAAGTTTCTCAATAAGTATCATAATAATAACTAATTTTTGTGAGGATCATTTTTACTTTAGTTTTCTAATTCATTTCATACGTTTTAAAACCATATTAAAAAGAGAGGTTAGTGGTCTTTTTCCACTTTATAACCTTTTTTTTTGGTAGCAAAGAATTTACTGCAAAAGTAATCCAGAAATTGTTGATATATTTTAGAAAAGGAGAAGAAATCAACAGAGGAGAAAAAAATCAGGAAAAAAGACAACAATTAGCATATTTATCATACATGAAGGAAACAAAACCTCTAGAGTAATAAAGACTCAAGTGTTTCATTTGTACATCTTCTGAGATAAAAATAGCTTTAAACAGCGACTCACTTCACTGGCATTTTTCGTTCCACTGTCCGACTGTCACAGATGATGGCGGATTTCTCTTTCTGACTGATCTTCAAGCTGAAGGTAATGTGACAGCAGGAACATTACAATTAGTATGCAAATACCTATCCCCTGAGTTACAAATTGGCATTCTTTAAATCATTCTACTCTCAGCTTTTTTCATTTTGTTCTTCACTTTTCACTGGTCAAAATACTTAAACTTCTAAGTAACAAATAAATGTTTGAATAAATGTGACATTTCTCTGAGTTTGGTTTAACAGATATATATTCAGTTTGAGATTTTAGTGGCCAAAGTTTATATACATGCACTTATAGGGCAGCTACTATTCACATGATTTTCAGTTCTATATATAATATCTATTTAAAATATATTTAATGTTCACCTTTATGTCTTTAATCTGTCTAAAAATTCATTTTGCTTACTGTTTTTGATTTTTAGGAAGGTATGGGGAAGGGTCTACTTTTAATACAGTATATTTATATTAAACAAGTATAATATTTAAGTATTTTAAAAATTTTACTCATGGGCTAAAATGTTTTAGCACAAGCATTATAATTTTATTTAAAAGGAATGCATTATATAATAACATGTATAGTTCTATTGCTTTTAACCATGAATCTCATTGAATTTAATATTAACATTTCTTTATGCAATGCTGATGTTTGACATAACAACACCTATGTATTTATCAAAATAAATATCATATGTTGTACTGGTATTTTAAATATAGTCAATATTTTATAACCTCATGCATTGCCAAACTTTTATTGTAAGTTCATTTGGAGGTAAAATATTATTAGTATATAATTATGACCTTCAATGTAAATTCTTGAAATTCTTGCTGATTTTCAGGGTGCTATAAAGGAATCAGAACGTGGCAGAAATTCTGCCTCTCCCTGACTTAGCATAGAAGTATCCTCCTTTAGCTGCTTTATAGAAATGCCTACTATGTGAATTACCCTGGACTAATGAGACTGATAGAAGTAGAAGAGCTGACCTAAAATGTCAGTGTATCATTGAGAATGGATGTCATCAGTTAGCTCAATTCATTTTGTTAATCTAAGCATCATTACGTAATGCCATACAATATGCAAAAAGTGAATCATTAGGTATAGTTTGAATTTTTTGTTTTGCTGAGGAAGATAATGAGATACTAATTTATAATACCTTGTATGTGCTTGAAAACACTACATTTTGAAAATAAAATGTCAAAATTTAAACATTCTCTTGGTTAAAAAAAAACCCACTGTACTACTCTTTAAGAATAGGTATAGAGGGCTGGGGATTTAGCTCAGTGGTTTCGCTGCCTGCTGCGCAAGCACAAGAACCCGAGTTCAATTTCTGGTATGGAAAAAAAAAAAAAAAAGAATAGGTATAGGCTTATTTTACAAGAAAACTTTAAAACAACAATTTAAATTTTTATTTTGAGATCAATGCAATTACAAGCATGACCATCCTCATACATCTTTCTACAAACCATAACTAATATTTGTTTACTGTGTAGTTTCCATTTCTTTCAAGCTTCTTTTCATTGATGAGAAAAAACTAAAAATTGCTTATTTTCTTACAGATGCAGGTCCATATTACAATGAGTAGGTGAGGAAAAAAAACCTCATTTTTTCTTAGGCTGTATGATTTATTCGTAGTGTTCAATACATCCTGATAAAAGATCACTAGCTATAAACATTGTTGAGGAATCTGAATATAATCAGCTTTCAACTCAAGGATATGTGGGCTCCATTATTAGAGCTGCATCCCAGTGGGGCAAAATGAATAATGGCTCCCCAAAATGCCCGTACCCTAAGGCTTGAAAAATGTGAATACATTATTTTGTATGGCAAAAGGGTGCTGATTATCCTAGATTATTCATTGGACTTGGGGTAATTATCTGGTATCCTTTGAGAGGAGGATTAAAGTGAGGTATAGGATTTTCGAGAATGGAAGCATGAATGTGAAGAGAAAGGAAGGGGCCAAGAGCTAAGGGATGCAGGTAGCCTTTAGATGCTGGAAAGGGTGAGCCAGATTTTCTCCTTGGATCCTCCAGAAACAACCAGCTCTGCCAGTGCTCTGATTTAGCCCTATGAGATTGATTTTAGATTCTGGCCTCCTGGACTCTAAGCTAATAAATTTATGTTGTTTTTAAGTTACTAGCTTGTAGTAGTTTATTGCAGCAGCAGTAGGAATCTCATGTATCCAGGGAACTCCAGTCTTCAAAATCCTTCTTACAAGAAGGTAAACATATATAAAATAGGCATGAATTTTGAGACCAGAGCAGTGAGTTCATAAGTGAGAATCCTTCCTACTGGACAGTAGCCTTGACTTCTGGGAGCCCCTTTGCTACTGAAATGGAGATAGTACTTATCTCAAAGGATTATGATGTGAGACTAAAGGAAGATACACTAAGTCAATGCATCTTACGTAATGCTATTTATGTATTTTTGTTTTATTTCCTTCTCATTATTTAATGTTCCCCAAAGCTAGTCAAGATGATAGCGTAGAAGATCTTAGGGGCAACATTACCATCATGCAATCAATGGATTTTTCTGTGCAAGTATATGAAATTAATTGTACAAATTTTTAAGAGTGCTTACATGTGTAAGAGATCATGATTGGTGGTACAAAAAATGCAAATCTTTGGGGCAGAGTTAAACATGCAGTACAAATACTGTATATGGTTTTTATCTGTCAAATATAGTAAAAATGTAAGGAAAGATTGGCAGAATCAGATGGTTTAAAAATTTTTCTTATGATTAAATAAATGACAAATTATAAAACCTAACTCTTTGGTCAGTTTCTTACTTTACAAAGTAATAGTTCTTTGCTCTTAATTTCCACTCATGATCATGGCAGTATCAAAGGAAAAGCAGAGCTGGGGAAGTAAATATGTAAAGGGAAGTTTAGAGATACACAGAATGTTTAGACATTTCAGATAATAAAGTGGTCTTAAATCTATATAAAACCTCTGTATTACCACAAAAAACTACTTCTGTTTACACTTAGCTACAAAAAGTGGGAGAAAATATGCAGGAAGAATTTAATTCTGGTGCTTGCATAATTTAGAAGTGTAACATTTTACTTAGATGTAACTGTTAGAAAATGTTTATTTTTAAGTGTTTATAGCAGCCCAAATCCAAATAGCTTAATCTTGGAAGCAGCCTATATGTCCATAAATAGATGGATGAATAAAGAAAATGTGGCACTTACACACAGAGGAGTACCACTCTGCCAGAAAGATGGATAAATTTATGTCATTTGTAAGAAAATGGATGGATACTGTTAAGTGAAATAAATCAGATACACAGGATTAAATATCCCAAGGTTTGTCTTGTATGAGAAGTTCAAAGAGAAAAACAAAATAGATAACAGGAAATGGGAGATGGACATTTTGCAAAAGGGATGGGGACCAATGGATGGAGTGAGGGAGGAGGGGGCAGAGTAGAAGGGGAAGAATAAAGAAGCCAGGCATGTGTACATTACCAGCTCCTCATGAGGAATGTAATCATTATGTGCTGCAAACGTACCAATAAAAATAAAAATTTTAAAAGTATTTTGAATGTATTTGTATGCCATCTAAGTAAATATGCCAGGAATGTTTTAGGAAAAATAGTAAAATAATTGAGCACTTGGACTAAAACACATTGAATTTATACATCAGAAACTTCCGAAGCATCATCTCCCGGCGTACTGCTCTGAGTTAGACCACATTTTTATGTGCATTTCACAGATGAGGAAACTAGGACTCAAGGAGGCCTTGCTGAGGATTATATAACTAGAAAATGCAGTGGCAACTTGCTTCATGAACACTTTTGCAAACAGTTTGGTTTGAAAACAGAAGAATTTGGTAAAACCATGTTTTTGTTTGTGAAATCTGCATCAAGTGACCAAAATGACTGCAGCCATCTTTCCCCTGTGAATAGGAATGTGGCCACCTTTTTCACAATCGTGAAAGGAATTAAGTTTGTAAATCGAGGTTTCACTCTGGGTAGAGCAAGGTTTGTGGTGGGCCTTGCTATTCCATAGGTGATGATAGTTTCCCCTGTTACATTTAGTTTAATAAAGGGGTTGGAAAAGAAGAGAAATATGGGAAAAGCTAATTATTAAATAAATATTGAATAGTAACACTTAAGTTTTAGGAATAAAAAGGGGAAGTGAATTGGGGAATAAGTTTTAGTACGATGTCAGTGAAAGTCTAAGGTTTCTCCACCCCCTATAAAGGGATGGAGAACTTCCTTTTAGAACTTTGTTCACAGGATTTTGATAAACAAAGCAATGATAAAGGTGTCAGATGACACAAAGGAGTTAAAAAGAAAAGTGATATGTGGTAAAATGTGGGCTTTGCTAAGGTGAACAGTGAAAACAAGACCAGCAGGAATGAATTTAGGTGAGTAGTACAGTTCTCAACACAATTGCACTAGTAATTAGTCGTGTTATGTCCCTATTCAGATTACAAAGGAAAAGAAAGGATTAATTGTACTTTTACAACTGTCTTCAGAGACTTATGTAATAGGGTTATATAAGCTGTTTATTTGGGAACTAAATAATTTAATATTTAAATTTCTTTTTATAAACAAAAGACAAGAGAAATTATGTTTTCTCAACTCTGCTTTGCCTCAAGTTACTGTTATATGAGATGCAATTTATAAAGCAATGAGTCTGAGTCTTGTATGCTTCATAAATTATTTCTGAGAACAATTCTCAAGAAGTTTGAAATGTTTCTAGCATTGGCAACACCACTGAAATGTGTCTGATCTCCCAAAGTGGATGCTCGAAAATATAATGCTCATTTGGATATATAATTCTTAGTAAATTTGTTGACATATCAGTCATATTGCTTTCTAGTTGTGCCTCATGACTGTATGTCCTAAGTATACTTTTTTGTATTTTCTTAGAATACCAACTCAATGATCAAAGAAACATCTGCCTCAATTAAAAAAATTTAAATTCAGTAGCTTAAGATTTCTGATTTAATAAAATGATCTTATGTTGTAAAAG